CCATCACGATTCTATTATTGATACACGTGTGGGTGGATTTGAACATATAGCCATCCGAGATCCCCATAATGGTGACCATACTCGCACAAGCAACGGGTAAAGCCCATAGATCGCATTCCAGTGCAGTGTATGTGCCAGTGCCCCGGTTTCAGCGTATCTTACTCCACACGTACAGTGTGTGTTCGGAATAGCCCGGTGTCCGTTAAGTGTCTAGTAATTCCATGCGTGCGTGACCCAGTTCCCACTTGTGAACAGAGCTCAAAATCGCGTCCGGAGAGCGCTAATGGGCCTACACCGCCACAAGACCATCACGATTCTATTATTGATACACATGTGGGTGGATTTGAACAAATAGGTTGACAAGCGCTGATAAACTTGCCTTGAATTGATGCAGAGTTACAAACGTCACAGGGAAGGCAGGGAAACGCTATACACTGGTAGTCTTCTACCTTTTCTAATATATCCAGGGTTTTCTTTTTGAATATCAGAATATCGTACAAGCTGGACAAATCAACGAAACAGAGGAAAAGAATAGAAAGACAAACACGAACCTGCCAACTGGTGCGACTTGAGATTCCTTCTACAAGCAAACTGTTATCAGTTCGGATAGGGGGGCCGAAACGGGCACCTCCTCGAGGAGCACCACGGTCTCTGCGTTTGAATGAGGATGTCAAGTTTTCGTGAATAAGAGCGTATTGTTGTTGGATCAATTCTCTATTCGGCTTTTGGTGAACACGAGTGATATTTATCGACTCACTAATAGTCCACAACACAAAAAGCATATGATCCGAATAGCACACCCTCGTCGGCGCGAATACTAAAAGAATTGATCGATTCATTCAAAGTCCATAACAGAAACACAACCCCGTCGGCTTTGGTGGATACGACTGATTTTGATCAGTTCACTGATAGAAAATGAAAGAAAGAAAACAAAGCCGAAGGCACACACCCACGTCGGCCAAATCCAGCGTCGCGATCGCGACGTCCTTTCGCAAATTCACATATGATGCGGTCTCCTAGAAAGCTTTTGCCATCCAGGGCACGAACGGCGTCTTCAGCATCCCGGGAATCGTCAAACTCGACGAACCTAGAATTGCAAGCGAATATAGAAACGACAAGAAAAAACAATCAGAACAGACTCGTATGCCATCTGTCAAAAAAAAAATACGCCACACAAGACCACATTGCAGAGTGTACTGACAGCTCAATATGGTTCACACAAGCGAACAAGAAATAGATGAAACGTCCGTGGTGAGAAAGTCAGTGACAACAAATATTTGTGCATTCGCGTTTGCGAGTACTTGATTGCATTAGACGGTATCCATATTGATTACTTACAGAGTTTCATACAAATAAGGACGCACATAGTTGTAGTCTGATAATTGAACACAACGAAACCCTATACAGCCGAATGATATAATAAAACCAGAAACATTCATTTTTGTACTTGTGGCATAAACGTACTTGCGTATTTACATATACATATACCTACTTTTATATATAAAGTCTAGAGGGAGACGCTTGCGAAGCTTTAAAGCATAGAAGGGATACGAATCAAGTGACTAGCTCAACTACTTTCAACTACGACTATCGCCTGCTAGTGAACGCGGTCACTAGAACACCACAATATGTGCAGTACAGCAAAACAATATGTGCATCCTCCTTCTAAGCCAAATTTCAGTATGAATTGGGCACTTTTGAATTCCGTAGGAATCAGAAGTCCCTGTCGAGCCGATTTTGTTAACTCAGTACTAGTGCCACCAAATCAAATACAAACGTTATTTTGCACCTACCCGAAGCCGTCACGAAGGTTAATATCGTTGATTCTTCCATAGCGATCTACGAGACGTTCAACATCGCGTGTGCGAATGTCTCTGGGCAGACGGCCCAGATACACTCGAGTGGTAGACATACTCATGTTGCTTGTTACTGTAGCGTAGAGTGCACTCTAACTGCTGAGATTGACTAGTAGTGTATGGTAAGAGTTGGTCGATTTGCAGAATTGCTGCTATTCCTCTATGAAGCGTGTTAATTCCCTTTTTTTCACTCTATTTATTTTTCGGTCACACAACGGCCAACGGGCGGGGCACTGGAGCATTTATTTTTAAATTTTTATAATATTATTATTATCCGGATGCATGAGGGTGGAAGAGGCCAAACTAATTTTTGACCAATTAAAAACATCAGAAGTCAGTCTGGTTTAAAAATAAACCCTGTTGAACCCTACATAAAAATACCCAGCTGATCTAGATGTGTTTTCGACTTTATGGTTATACACAGCGAGAATATTATAGGGGGGAGCAAGAACTCGGGGAGGGTGTGACGAAAGGACTATCATAAATATTTACAATCGAGATCACATTAAAAACTATGCTGAATTTTCATGCCATTGCCTCTGGTTTGCTTTAGTTAGTGTGTGATCGACTGAGGGAGTTAGGGTAAATGAGCCGTCCAAAACAGTACACATAGCCATTGTCAAATATGAACACCGTCACCATCACCTTGTTCCGGAATGATGGGACTTTGGAAACTTCCACCGCGAAGTCGTTTACTTACTTTAAAACGATTAATTTTTCCAGCTTGAATGTCCAATGCTTTGAGGTATTTCAATAGACGCTGATAGTTCATTTACATTTGATGCTGATATTACGCTAGATGCTGGTTTTCTATCTCAAATCAATTGTACTGATTATGGTATTGCAGACGACCTATTTTTCACACGTTTGGACTATCTCGCCGTATGCCACACTTTCTCGGTATGTCACTTTAAACTGACGTTGATCCTCTACTATCACCAATATGAACTTTACATGTACACAGCGCCTCTATGAAATACCAGCGCAAGGCAACGAGATACTGTACCACCATACAGGTGCCCGCATCTTCGCCACCAACGAATTATCATACGGTGACTCAGTGGTGGTCAGTGGAGGCGAGATATTTTCACCACTCAAGTTTGTATCGCAAATGCCAAGTTGGGCCCAGACGGACGATGTCAACAGGTATTGTTTGGTTTGAAATTAATTGTTTCTCAAGCCCCGTTTATACGGTGTCGTTTAGTTGGGGGTTTTTTTTTCGTGTTGATGCCGAAGGGAAGTCAGCGATAATATATACAATTCTATCTGAACCCCATGGGCACAGTGGGAGGAGATATTCATGTCATCATTATGCTTGGAACGCACAACAGAATTCTAGAGGATGTGTACAGTGATCAACAGAAGCATAGGGGCTCGTACGTGGGCAGCCAGAGCATGCCTGGCTTAGTGATGGAGGGTCTGCGAGGAGTATATCCGCCTGAAATTGACCTGCCTTCGCACTTTTCGACAATGGTTAATGACGTCAGTAGGTATGTTTCTTAACAAGTGTATTTGATTGGTATTCTGCACGTAGTGTGTTCAAGTATGCTCTCGTGCCCTCGCTACTTTAAATCATCGTGCTCACTGCCGCCAACGGAGAATGAATAACCAGTATTGTGTTTGCTCGTTTTGAAATAGGATATTTTTATTGCGTTCTTGATACATGATCCATCCCCAGATAGACAGCGCATCTCATCTATGATTAGCCTTGTTTAATATTGTAGTACCTTCGCGCGATTGTGTCAAACCAAAGCACTTTTCAAGCTTAGGATTGACTGGCTTGTTTAATGGATAGAGAAATAAGTAGGATATTCTAAACACAGACCGCGCTAAGGTATATAAATATGTTTCAATATCTAGGTGTATTCGTTATTGATTGGCTACGCCATATGGTATACATTCTACTACACCCCTTAATGAGTTATCTATGAACTTGTAAACGATCATACTATCAACCAATGTAACACCATAGCAGTCCGTTCTTTATATGCTATTTCGTCAGCTGCCGTACCTTCGGTTATGGAGTTAATATATCGCGCATCGTCTCAGATATCAAAGTTGAAACTTTAGAATTTCTAAAGTGCTATTGATTTTCAAAGTAACGAGACAGTCTCGTAGATATTACCTTGTTTAAAACATTAAACTTTGGTTTGCGATAGTTGTGTGTGGCTTTTCCAGTAAATATTGTGTTTTCGACAAAGAACGCACTTATGAGATAGCTAGTTGGAGCGCAAGAACAGCACGGAAATTTGAATCCTGTCTACGGACGAGTGAACTGTGCGAGTTCAAGATATCAGCTTCAGCCTGCATCCTCTCATATTCACTACATTTTCGCGAATCTTGTTGGTAGACCCTCGGTGATTATACCCCAACTGGACTAAGGTTATACTTATCGTAAAGGTTGCCTTCAACACGCTTCATCGGCTTCGCATGAATGTACTGGACTATATATGCCTCCCAAACCATCTAAATTTTGGATATGACCTGTTCTACTACCTTCCAGGGCAAATTATCCCTTGATACGTCATGCAAATCAACAACAACAGTTACCTGGCATGTCTTCTGACAATAACGTCGACCAGCAACAACAATTACCAAAAACACAAAGGTATGCTTATGCAAAACATTGTAGAAATAGCAGAATCTGTCTGAAATATATCAGGTCACCTTCTCAAGCAACCATGAAATATTGCTATTTCTAACACTCGCATTTTCTGTATTCCACAGCAATTTGTCAGAGCTATTTGGGAATATATATCTTCCAACCATCAATGTTAATTCTTCAGGCCTCGGCTCTGGTATAACCAATACAAATGCAATGGTAAGTACGATACATCAGGGTGGGTTTGTTTCAATTTATTTCTAATTTTAGTACGTTTTTGTGACTGAAACCTGTCGTATCAGCTTGCCAACTTTACTGACTATTTAATTTTTCTGGACCCTTGTACTACAGAATGGAAAATACAACACAGCCAGTCCCAATAGCATGGACAGTAACCCACGGACTTCGCAACAACTCGATCTTTTTTCACCGCGCCGAGAGGGTTCTTCATCCAGTATAAATATACCAAGCCCGCATTCAAGCATGAACAATGTGAGCCCTACCATGAACAAAGGGGGCCCCAGTATATTACCACTACCAGCAAGCCTCTCCCACTCATCATTTGCACCACAAGGACAAGGCTTGGTAAGCAATAGTATGATGAATCAACCAGCGCAAGCAATCAGTGCCAACGGATTGAGGACACATATCAGTCCGCATCAGGCCAATCCCCCCTTGCAAAACTTGCAACAAATGCCTGAGGCACCGCGCACTAGTGTTTCCAGCATTGCGTCGCGGTTAGAGTCGTCGAAAACGCGCACAACCGGCCTTGCAAAGTCCGGTAGTTCAGGTGATCTGAGTTACAAGGGAGGCATACCGGATCGCATCAGCAGTCACAAAGCGGCAGAACGGCGCAGCAGGGCGAAGTTAAAGGATTCCTTGAAAAGTCTGTGTCTTTCTATTCCAGCTCTTCGTGAGGTTCACAACCCATCTAAGGCAGTCATTATGCAGCAAGCATCCGAGTATATCAAGAACACCGTGGACAGCCTTGAAGAGGTTAAAAGTGTAGCTGAGAAAGATAAAGAAGAGAAAGTGCAACTGGCCGCTGCCAAGGCCAGTGTTGAGCTTCAACTGGAAGCGGCGTCTATTACAACCGTAGAGATCACTGACTCGGAAGAACGCGTTGTATTCGTCGATCATATGTGGGAGATTGTGATGGGCTACAGTAGAGCGGAGGTTGTTGGAAGCCTCATTCACAGTATTGTGGATTGCTCCTCGTGCCCATTCATGTCCGCCCGCGGGCAAAGTATCAAGGCAGCATTGGCTAACGGTATGGAATATCAACGAGTATTTTTGTGTCTATCTCATCCGTTGCAGGTTTATTACTTTATTGGCTGCTCTGTTGACTTACAGTTGCTATCATTTTGATACTTAGGCGAGGATTGGAAAGGTGTTATGCTCGGATCTAGGAGGGATGGACAGTCTTTTGCATGTGAAGCAACCACTACACCCATCCCAGGGTGTGGTGGTTCCGGTTTCCAATACCTGACACGAAGGAGGGTATGTTCGCCTTAATTTGATTTGTCGCTTTGTATGTGTTTTTGCCCGTTCGATTCGACTACTTCATGTTGCTATTAAGAGTTGAACGATCTTTTCACATTTCCCTGGCTACTCTGCGCAGAATTTTCACCTTCTGGCTACGGATGAACAGGAAGAGCTCTGCTCTAATCAGTTATCTAAAACAATCCAATCGGTATGTCTTGTGATCGTGCCCTCGGTTTCGTGGTTCAAATGCTTTTGTTGCTACTGTTTTACTTTAGTGCCGCACTTGAGTTTTGCTCAGACTACTTTTTTTTTCCTCAATTTAGTCTGTACCAGTTGATTCAGAGAGAGTCAGGCAAATTATACAGAAGGCCACAGAGATGGCAAAAAATACTAAGGTGAAACGGGAACCTTAGGAGGAAATATAAGTACATAACAAATAAGTAAACCTACGCAGGCAATGTATAAGAATTTGTCGCTCTGGTTTCAATTGATATGGTCGGTGTATGGATCCTTCGGCGAAATTTGAAAAGAAAAACAGGTATACAGTGATACTCTATTGCCGGATTCCAGAGTCCTATTGATATGCCGTTTCTTAGCTATGTAAAAGATCCACCGCGTAAGTATTTTACCACGTCCGAGCTCTTTTGAGTTGGGATACGTCAATTTTAAATGGTTTCAACACGCCCTCCGCCGTGGCATTTCAGTTATAACTATTGTTGTAAAAGAAGTTAAATTGGGAGACTGACGCTTCGCAGAGGGCTTCTTTGTTCATCTTATTAAATATTCTGAAGGTGGAACGGGAAAGAAATAGTAGAGATATCATAATGGATGTATTGTGTATGTCATGGTCGTTGGAGTTGTCCGACCAATTTATCATATTCGCGCATATATCGCTGAACGCTTATGCGTATTGTTTGATCCTAAACACAGCCACTTGACATGCACAATTTCATTTTGTACAGCGATTCATCTGCTTCGGGCCTCGTATGAAAGTAACGATGCAAAATTGAAGTCTGAGTCGTTATAGATTCGAATAACGAACTGTATGCCTCGAGCTAAGAGCTAGTACTTTAAACTGTTCTCATCGGGCTAGAAACTACCAGAAATTCGCCATTTTTGAAGAGCGTAACATTTCGAAATTCCTGTGCACAGTGGATCGGTTTTAATCGTCACAATGGGTCTACATGCTATAAATACAAATTTACATCCAGCAGGATCCCAATTCGAAGCCAATTGCTTCCGGAGCAACCGTTCTTGGTTTTTATATCACCATGCACTCGATTTGAATAGAATAGTTCACAAAAGATTTTGTAGGGCACAGTTAGCTATGGCCTGAACCTGATTTACGAAGTCAATTACACATGCTTCATTTCTCCACTGCGATTTCGATTCGAGATTCTAATCAACGTATTACTGCAGATATTTAAGTAGTTGTATTCGTTCTGCTCGGAAGGACATAAATTTCAGCGGTGTTCCACGTACGAATTTTGAATAGCAGTGCAAATGTGGACGCCTTTATTCGCTAACTATACACACTCGACGACAAGCGACATTCTAAATACGGTAGAGGTTCTTTATTTGATTACGTCGGCCATTGTAGATTGAACTACGCTAATTCGCCCAAAAACATCTTCTTATCGCTTGAGCAGGAGAGCACTGGGAAGATTGAGGAGGAAAATATATACGAATTGCGCAAGTAAGTTGTATAATAGAAACTCGGGGTCATATTATCGGCCAAATAACTGCAAATTAGCGCGAAGACACAGCTACCGAGACTCATAAGAGTCAGGAGCGACAAGCAACTCAAGACAAACATGAAGCAAATTGAACATACCGACTGGCTCGCGTGGATGGAACTTGACATCGTTTACTGTGCCCGTGTGTCCTGGCAGTCTATAGAGCATTTTCGCGCTTTTCGCATCCCACACACAGACCAATCTATCAGCAGAGCCAGCAGTCACCTGGTGGGAAAGGATGCGTTTGACAAAACTGAGACTAGGTAGATTATACAATGGCGGACTGGCCTGAGCATATGCAGCCAACGGGAAATGGCCAGGACACTTTGACTTGCCCGGCGAAGGGGAGGTGAAAGAGAGGCGAAAGATATATACCCTTGAGTTTGAAGTATTCTATGAGCACAACCATGAGTCATATAAGTTACTTTGAAAATCGACAAGTAACGCTGGCGACAAGATGTCGCTTAAATTACAGAGTGAGTCCTACGAACCACAAAAAATCAGGCAAGAAACTGTATTACTACTATGTATAAATGCCTGATCTTGTGCACCCAGAACAGGTCACTTGCCATTTTACCACTCGGGTCCCAAGAGCATTTTAGCAAATTCTTTTCGAAGTTATGCGTTGCTCCCGTGAATATCTTCTCTAACCTGTTATCGGCCTTGTATGGACGGACATCCCACGTGCGGACTGTATATTCAAACAACAGAAAGATGTGGTTTTATATAAATCACGATTGGCGGTAAAGTTTTTGATAGCGCTGTAGCCGTGCGCGCGTCTATAAGGAGTAGTGGCGAACAAGAAATAAGCAGAAAGCGTCTTACATTTCAAAATAACATTCAAGACAAACTAACAGCACCACTGAAGGAGAGAATTGACGTAGTGACGGAAGAGATGATAAACATTTTTTTTACAGACGATAAAAAAAAAATGAAAATAAATAAAATAAACATATATGAATGAAAATATATATATATATATATATGTGTGTGTGTGTGTGTATAATATATATATATATACATATATATATATATATATATATATATATATATATATATATATATATATATATATATATATATATATATATATATATATATTATATATATATA